GTTCTCTGGGCACAAGCCTTATTCCTTTTGAAGGCAGACACTCTGTGGGTTCAGGTTTCTGGTGCAGGTCCCCAGAGAGCCACATGTAGGGCACAAACCCCTAAGTCCTCAGGGATGGGCTTCACATGTGTGATATCCTTCCAGCGCAGACACCACTCCTGTTCCCATATCTATCCCCCTGCCTGCTGTGCAGCTCTGGTCACTGCTTAGGTAGTGGCGGGGTCAAACTCCATGTGTGAGGACTCAAGCTCCTCTGCACTTTCTTTGTCTGCGTCCTGTGGCAGCAGCTGCTTTGACCTTAGCTCCTTGTAGCCTCACTGAAAAAATAAATTCTGCAGCCCCAAGGCATAATGCATACTTGGCTCCTGGTGGATCTCAGGATTGGTTGGCTCATGGATGAGATGCAAAATAATTGGAGGTTCCTACCCCAAATTTGGATCATAAATGCTGGAGTCATAAACCAGGGATAGATATGAAATGATATCTACCCTGATACAATGTCTATGCCTGATCCTGCAGCCAGGGGCTAACTGCATGTGGCCTCTGGGCTGTTTTCAGTATCTGGACCAGTAGCTGGAATACACGTCTGTTCTCCTTCAGCCTCATTCCTCTTCAGGTTCCCTTCACGTATGATGACCGTGGACTAGGATGCAGTGTTAGTGGGTCTAAATTCATCTCCATGCAGCCTTTATAATTTTTCTCTTCAGAGAAGAGAGCAAAGGGAAAATTTATTAACTGATACTCAGATCATTTTTTTACCACCAAACTTTGGCAACCATCAAGACATGAATATCTACTGAGACCTTTTCTTTCTTTATTTCTTCATAGTCCCATTTACCTGAAGTTCCTGAGAGAGCTCCTGATCTTAGACTGTAGCCACAGGGCCATACCGAGTCCAGGTGGGAGAATGAGCATCACTGTGTTACCACTCTGTGATACCCTCTGGTAACTTAAGAAGCATTCAAACCTGTGAGGAAGTTTTGTGTATTTATTTAAGCCAAACTGCCCACAATTGCTGGGAGCAGAATCTCAATGGATTGAGATAATGCTCTAGAGAATGGTAGTTTTGTGCCTTGTATTTTACATTAGAATCAAAAGAGAAGATATAAGTGTGTTACATGAAATCCATTGGTGATAGATTGGGGAGGCTGAGGAAGAAGAAAACAAAGAGGGGAGGGTATGGAACCTCTGGGATTGGATAAAAAGTATAGTGATAGACATCTTTTACTTACATGGGTGTAGGATAGTTAACAGTCAACAATTAGCTCAATAACAATGAGGTGATTTATGGTCTCCATACAGTGCTGCTTTGACAGGTCCAGAAAAAAAGGAAAATTACCTTGACATTCCAACGATATGTTATCGTAGATGCAAACGGACAATAGACAGGCTCAGTTAAAGTAAAGATTGACTTTGTCAGGCCAAAATGCCAGCCTAGGATATGACTAACCAACAAAAATGCTTTTTTATTTAATTTTTTTTTTAAATTTCAAACCATTCTTTGTGGTTATTTTAGGTCTCTGAATTTGCAAGGCTACCTATCACACAGGCCTTCTCTGAGCTAGTCAGGTTAGCATGTGGTCCTTTTTTGTCCACGCCTCTTTGACCGCCAGCATCATTTCCAATTTGGATGGTGATTACCATCTTGTAACCTGTGAGATATAAGCTGTCAGGGTCACTTAGCTGAGCTGAGGATACAGGACAGGAGGCAGGGCATGCTGACATTGGCTGCCTTAGGGAAGCTATTAGTGGTGGTCTTCACAGGCCTATGGAAGGTACTTTATTTCTGTTATCTCAGCCTTTTAAGAAGACAGACTTAGTAGATGTGTGTGAAACCACTAAAGTTTATGTAAGCCTAGAGCAGTGGTTCTCAACCTTCTGGCCCTTTAAATACAGTTCCTCATGTTGTGACCCAACCATAAAATTATTTTCATTGCTACTTCATAACTGTAATGTTGCTACTGTTATGAATCATAATGTAAATATCTGATATGCAGGATGGTCTTAGGCGACCCCTGTGAAAAGGTTGCTCTACCGCCAAAGGGGTCGAGTCCCACAGGTTGAGAACAACTGACCTAGAGCTACAGAGTGCAAATTAAATTGTGAAAGACCATAGGCATAGCATCCAAGGGCTATAAAGATACACATGTGGTTATAAAAGTCAAAAATTTCTTATGAAAAATGAGATTTAAGCATATTAACTGGCATTTGAGGTGTATATGAAATGCTCCTAATCCCAAATGCACTTTCTATATCAGGCTAATTTTGCTATCAAAAATCTGGCCTTGTAATGAAGCTGATCTTCCTTCCACTTTATTATAGCCTCATGAGTTTTCCAGACAACAAAAACAAAAACTTATTAGAAGACTTATCCAATATTACCGTTATAGGAAGAAAGAACCCAGGCTTGATGTTAACCTTTTTTCTCTGTAATCTAATCTAACTTCCAATCCTTTCCTCTTACCTCATCCTATGTCTCACTCATCACCTGCTCTCCATGTCTTTCATCTTCTTGTCCTGAAAGCTATCATCATCTCTCCCCTGAGCAACTGTATGTGCATCCAACTCATCTTTCCAATCCTCCACTGGATCCATAGATTACTCCACACCCAACACTGGTGATTACTTTTGCTCTCAGCTCTAAACGTTACATAATTCACTAAGTGCCATAGGTCACTGCAGGCTCATGTGATTCCAGAGGCCTAGCAGTTTTCTCACACCAGCCACACTGGCATTTTCCATCTCAGACAATGTGGTGCATCTTCAATGAATGGGTCATTTCCTTTACAAAATAAATTTCTTTTCTCTCCCATATGCCTTATTTCCTTCATCTTCCTCAGGTTTCAGTTCAACCCTTAGGTATTTCAGTTTGAATTGCTGGACAACCCTTTATCTGCCCCAATAATTTGATTTCCCAACAACATGCACATCTCTCTAGTAGTGTTTTTCACATCAGCTTGTATATACATATGACTTAATTTACTGTTACTTTCCAGGTTGATGTCAGGGTCACAGTGGCTTAAACTGTCTGTTTAGACTCATTTCTGTGTTTGTGGGTATTAGTTTAGTTGTTAGCATGCAATTCATAGTGATGAAAAATTAGTTGAATGATCTTGCCTAATATTTTGAGATTTCTATTGCAAGATTGATATTTACTTCATCTGTGTTTCTATTTTTTCAGATATGTGACTTGTGTGATCCTATGAGTGCCTTTATGCTATCTTACTCCCCATCATCAATATGCATACAAACCATGAGGCTCCTGTCAATGTCCTTGGCATATTTCCAGGCAAATGTAAAATTTTACTATTTATCCAACAAGACTCCCCAGAACCTTCTAACTTACCTATTTCATCTTTGATGAATCCTGTAAGGTAGGAAGAGGGACCCTGAATACATTAGGATAATTGCAACTCTGTACTGAAAATAAATGGTCTTTGTAAGTCACTCACTAACTTTATGTACATATCTGGTAAAGGGTTTGCTCTTGCCATTTACACAAACACATTGTCACATATTATGTATATGTATGTATGTGTGTGTGTGTGTGTGAGGGGACACTTTGCCTAATATGCAAAGTGTCCCCTCAGGAGTTTGACCAGGACACCGGGAGTTCGATTGCTCGCTATGATGTGCGCTGACCACCAGGAGGTGGCATGGAACAAATGAAAACCCCGGCCGGCAGCCAGCAGCTAGGGAAGGAAGGCCCTGGCCAGCAGCCGGAAGGCCTCGATTGGCCCTGATCACCAGCATGGCTTAGAGACCCTACCCATGCATGAATTTCGTGCACAGGGCCTCTAGTGTCATAGTAATGAGAGAAATTTTTCAAACATACAGCAAATGATGGCAATAGTTCCACTATAAATAAGCAAGTCAGAGCAGGTCTTTCTGATAAAGGAACACGGAAGGAGATTGTTAACTGAAGGATAATAGTGAGTTCTACTGATAACAGGGCAACATTATCTGATGAGACAAGAGCAGGTATAAAAGCCGAGACCCAAATGTTGTTTGGGGATGTGTTTGTCATAGGAAAGAGTAAGCAGGAGAGATGCTGGGACACACAAACATCTTTTCTTTGTAAAAAGACCTCAGGTCATCCTTTGCTTTAGTAAAAGTAAAGGGCAATAACAACCATTGCACTGATAAAAATGAAATTTGTCATGTCAGAGTAAATAAAAGTACTTAAAATTCTTATGTGCCTGGCTGGAATTTCTCAGTGGTTACAGTGTTGGCTGGTGCATGGAAAGGTCAAGGACACTTACAGGGTCGCAGGTTTGATCACCACCCAGATATGGGTACCTGTATCAGACAACCAATTGATGTGTCTCTCTCACATTCAAATCTCTCTCTCTCTCTCTCTCTCTCTCTCTCTCTCTCTCTCTCTCTCTCTCTTGTCCCCTCCCTCCCTTCTACTCTGTTTAAAAATCAATGGCAAAAATATTCTTGAGTGAGGATTAACAAAAATTAAAATAAACTATAATAATAAAAGCGTAATATGGCAGTAGTTACGTCCTTCTAGATATCTTTCCAATGAAGCCGCAGTGGCAGGGACTGAGGCAGAGGCGTTGAGGAACATTGAGCCAGGTAGACAAGTAGTTAGGGGCGATCAGACAGGCAGAGTGGTTAGGGGCAATCAGGCAGGCAGGTGATTGGTTAGGGGTGATGAGGCAGGCAGGCAGAGTGGTTAAGAGTGATCAGGCAGACAAGGAGGTGAGCAGTTAGGAGCTAGCAGTCCCTGATTGTGAGAAGGGTCCCAAATTGCGAGAGGGTGCAGGCCAGGCTGAGGGACGCTCCCCGTGTACAAATTTTGGGCACCGGACCTCTAGTATTGTTATTAATAGCCTTTTTTACCAGGTCACCATGCTCCTTGCCTTGTGTCTCTACCTTTTCTTTTTTTGTCCTTTTAAATCCGTTCTTGCTCCATCCTTCATTTCTACACAATTAGCAACATTTATTCCTACCATTCTTACTCTGTCCCCTTTAATCTTTCCAATCAGGCAGAGGTCGGTGAGCAACAGAAACCTCAGATCAGGAGAGATAGGAGCAGGAGAGCAGCTGCGATGGCTTCAGGAATCCTGGTGAACATAAAGGAGGAGGTAACATGCCCCATCTGCCTGGAGCTCCTAACAGAACCCATGAGCCTGGACTGTGGGCACACATTTTGCCAAGCCTGCATCACTGCAAACAACAGGGACTCCATGATTGGCCAAGGAGAGAGCAGCTGCCCTGTGTGCAGGATCACTTACCAGCCTGAGAACCTGCGTCCCAATCGACATGTGGCCAACATTGTGGAGGTGCTTAGGGAGGTCAAGTTGAGCCCACAGGAGGAGCAAAGGACAGATCTCTGTGTGCGCCATGGAGAGAAACTCCTGCTCTTCTGCCAGGAAGATAAGAAGATCATTTGCTGGCTTTGTGAGCGGTCTCGAGAGCACCGTGGTCACCACACCTTCCTCATGGAGGAGATTGCCCAGGAGTACAAGGTAACAGACCAGGGTGGAGGAAAGACAGGGCAGAAAATAGCACTTGATAGGAAACCTCAACTTTTGTATTTGACTGTAATTTTCTTGCCACCACAGTCCTGAGGCCATCACTCTTCTTCCTATGTTCACCTTACAAGGCCTGAAGGACATTTCTATACATTCCACACGATCAATTACAAATGATGAGCAGACTCTAAAGGAGAGTAGGTATTTTCAGACCTTGTGCTAGTAGGTAGAGGTTTGGTGCACAAGCAAAGCTGTCATCATCTCTTTAGATATGAGGGGTAACTGGGCAGCTGGGTAGATCAAGACCTAAGTTCTTTCCTTACTACAGGATCAGGTATTTTCTTCTAGGCCAAAGAAAATCAATTTCTCTTGACATGGTAATGGTGACTTCTATCATCTGAGTCTTTTTTTTTTTTTAATTAAATCTTCATTGTTCAGATTATTACATTAGTTACTCTTTTTTCCCACCATAACTCCCTTCCACCCAGTTCGCACCCCACCCTCCGCCCTCACTCCCCACCCACTGCCCTCATCCATAGGTGCACGATTATTGTCCAATCTCTTCCCTCACCCCCACACCCCTTCCCCCACACAAGAATAGTCAGTCCATTCCCTTTATATGTCCCTGATTCTATTACAATCACCAGTTCATACTGTTCATCAGATTATTTATTCACTTGATTTTTAGATTCACTTGTTGATAGATGTGTATTTGTTGTTCATAATTTGTATCTTTACCTTTTTCTTCTTCTTCCTCTTCTTAAAGGATACCTTTCAGCATTTCATATAATACTGGTTTGGTGGTGATGAACTCCTTTAGCTTTTTCTTATCTGTGAAGCTCTTTATCTGGCCTTTACTTCTGAATGATAGCTTTGCTGGATAAAGTAGTCTTGGTTGTAAGTTCTTGGTATTCATCACTTTGAATATTTCTTGCCACTCCCTTCTGGCCTGCAAAGTTTCTGTTGAGAAATCAGCTGACAGTCGTATGGGTACTCCCTTGTAGGTAACTGATTTTCTTTCTCTTGCTGCTTTTAGGATTCTCTCTTTGTCTTTTGCTCTTGGCATTTTAATTATGATGTGTCTTGGTGTGTTCCTCTTTCGATTCCTTTTGTTTGGAGTTCTCTGTGCTTCCTGGACTTGTAAGTCTATTTCTTTCACCAGGTAGGGGAAGTTTTCTGTCATTATTTCTTCAAATAGGTTTTCAATATCTTGCTCTCTCTCATCTTCTGGCACCCCTAGAATTCAGATGTTGGTACGCTTGAAGCTGTCCCAGAGGCTCCTTACACTATCTTTGTATTTTTGGATTCTTTTTTTCATTTTGCTTTTCCGGTTGGGTGTTTTTTACTTCTTCGTATTTCAAATCTTTGACTTGATTCTTGCACTCCTCTGGTCTGCTGTTGGGTGTCTGTATAGTATTCTTTATTTCAGTCAGTGTATGCTTAATTTCTAGTTGGTTCTTTATCACAACATTGAGGGTCTCATTAGATTTCTTGAGGATCTCACTACATTTATCGGCGGTCTCACCAGTCTTCTTGAAGATCTCACTACATTTATCGGCGATCTCACCAGTCTTTTCGAGGGCCTTATTAAATTTATCGGCGGCTTCTAGACAGTTCTTTAAAGACCTTAAAAGTGTGGTTTTGAACTCTATATCCAACAGTTTGCTTTCCTCCAATTCTGTTGTTTGTGTCCTGTTTCTTTGTCTCGGCATTTTTTATGCTTTGCTGTGTCGATAGAGTGCCTTTCTGTGCTAAGTGTCCTAATTACCTGAGGTAGACACTCTTGGTGCACCCCCTTGTGGTCTTTGTGCACAGTCTTGTTGTAGTTAAGCCTTGATTGTTGTAGTTATCACTGGGAGGAATTAACCTCCAGGCCAATTGGCTGTGAGAATCAGCTGTGTCTGCAGTGGGAAAACTTCTGTGCTGGAGACACCCCTCTGGAGATAGACTTGCTTTAATGGGGCTTTGGTGCTCACTGAGTCTGCCCCCTGAGTGTGTCTTTTATGGTTCCACAGAGCTGCAAACTGGATGGTCCCACTCTGACCTCTGGGCTTCCTGGCTCCTGGATCTCTAGGGAGGTGCTAATCTAGCCTTTGCCTGAGGCTATCCAGCAAAAGTCTCCCTGCAGGGCTTGGGCTCTGCAGGTCCCAAGGGGTCAACAGGGCGGGGTTAGCAATTATGGCTGCTCTCAGTCTTGCCCTCAGAGGCTCTGCTTCTCAGTGTCCCAGTAATTGCTGCAAGCCCCACTGAGAGAAAGCTGCCCTAGGGTTCTGAGCGATGCCAGACAGTCTCACTTCTCCCATATGAGTCTGGGTCCCTAGAGACTCCCCCGGAACTGGAACTCAGAGCCTAAGACTCCCTCCTGATTGAAAACGACAACCGCACCCTCAGCCGCCAGCCCGCTCCGCATGCACTCCGCACCTTAGTATTTTACTTCAGCACTGCGCCTCCTCTGAGTCTCCGTATGCTTTTCTCTTTCCTCCTAGTTGTAGAACTTCCACTCAGCCAGCCTTCCTGTGGTTCTGGATGATGTCCGTTCCATCTTTTAGTTGTATTTTTGAAGTGGTTGTTAGAGGCAGCAAACTGCGGTGTTTACCTATGCCGCCATCTTGGTTTCTCTTTTCTATATTCTATCATCTGAGTCTTAAAGAACACATAACCACATCAAGTTTCCTTAAAATCACAGGTTCTAATGGTCATTTTACAGTTTCTTTAGAGATGAACCTGATTTCTTCCCATTTAACCTCTCTTCTGATGAGGACAGAGCCCATAGCTTGACCCTAAAGTGATTCTTCTCCCATAGGAAAAGATCCAAGCAGCTTTGGAAAGGCTGAGGGCAGAGCAGAAGGAAGCTGAAAAATTGGATGATAACCTTGAAGAAGAGAGAACTTCCAAGAAGGTAGGAGGAGAGTCTTTCTGGAAATTATCCAAGAATCTGGGCATGACTTTGGGTTTTAGTCACAAGGATCCCCTTCTTTCTTGTTTTCTGACAGTTGATATGTCCAGAGTCATTGATCAGCCATTCTTTATCCTTTCCCTGGTAGAAATAGGGCTGGGAATAAGCATGTCACAAAATAATGCAGATATTTTTAGTTAGTTATTCCCATAGTTAGACTCTCTAGTGAGGATGGTAGTGAATTTTATATTCATTTACCTTTGTGTGTGTGTGTGTGTGTGTGTGTGCCTTAAACTCTTCCAGGGAAGGCAATTGCCAATGGTTCATGGCTCTGTCCCAGGTGCTCAACATAGGCTGAGGGTGGGGTCGGGTGAGGAGTAATGCATGGAGGCATGACTGTCCTGGGCAGCTGTGAGAGCTGAGCCACACCCAGGAGTCCCATTTTGGTTCGGGGTTGGCCTCAATAATGTAGGCATGAGAGCATTATTTTGAATGTGATGGAAATGAAATAATGGGAAAAATCAGCCTCCCCAAGAATTGCTCCTCTGCTTCCATCTCTCTTCCCTCTGAGAACATCCAAATCAAATACTTCCTTTTCTGGCTCCCACTCTGCCTGGTAACCTGAGTCCCTGTCTTTCTTTCTCACTCCTGAAGGATAAAATAGAAAATGACTTGAAAAGTGTCCAGGATTATTTTAAACAACTGAGAGGTATCCTGGCCAGTGAGGAGCAAAAGGAGCAGCAAAGGCTGGAGAAGGAGGCGGCACAGAATCTCGATGACCTGGCTCAGGCAGAGAGTGAGCTGGCCCAGCAGAAGAAGTTGTTGAGAGATCTTATCTCAAATCTGGAGCATCTGTTGCAGGGGTCAACAGTAGAGTTGCTGCAGGTAAGACTTAGAAATAAGCCCCAGCATCTGAACTTAAGGAAAATTAAGACTAAGTTTCCTTCTCTGCTGTGTGGCTGTTGTTTGTGGTGTTGAGACTGAGGTTCCATTGGTCTTGCAGTGACCCTCCCCTGTATCTATTTCAGAAGTTATTGAAATTGTTGAATGCATGAACAACAGGGAAAAATCTGGTTCTTATTAATGTATCAATTAAAGTACAAAATTGACTGTGAAGAGAAGATTCCTTGTATTCTGTAGGCACCTGTGTCAGTGATCTAGCCTAAAACTTTACTCAGGTATCTCTTGAGGATACAAGAGTTGTTGTTTTTCTTTTTAGAATAAGTCGAAATTTTTTTGTTCCTTCTGAATTTCCTGAATAAACAATTGTGAAGGGTTGGCATTATTTAATTTTTAATTTTCCGTACATTTACCATTGGAACCATTTCAATCTGGGCCTTTATGTTAATGGAAAAGTTTAAAATATTTTTTTTACTTGTATTAGGTTTTCTCAGGTTTTTTATATTTCTTGAGTCAGTTCTCGGTAATGTACATCTTTGTAGAAATTTTTCCCTTTTAAGTTGTCAGATTCATAAACATGATATTAGTCATTATTTCTTAGAATATTTTTCATTTCTACAATATTAACAGTAATGGCTCCTCTTTTATTTCTGATTTTGTGATTACTTTTGGTCAAGTAAGTTATAATTTGTCAGGGTCATTGACATTTTTTGGTTTGTTTGTTTGATTTTAATATATATTTATTGATTTTAGAGAAAAAGGCAGAAGGTGAGAGAGATAGAAATATCCATGATAAGAGAGAATCATTGATCTGCTGCCTCCTGCATGCCCCCTACTGGAGATCGAGCCAACAACTGGGGCATGTACCCTTGACTGGAATCGAACCCAGGACCCTTCAGTCTGCAGGGCAACGCTCTATCTTGTGAGCCAAACTAGCCAGGGCTCATTGATATTTTTTAATAATAAATTTTACTGTGTTATTATTTATTTATTTATTTATTTATTTATTTATTTATTATTTGTATTTAACCTTTCTATATCACAGGTTTCTACTCTCACTTACATAGTTTCCTTTGTGTGTGTGTATGTAAATACACTTTCATATATGAGAGTGTGTATGTGTTTGTGTGTGTACATTGTATTTAATTCATTGTTCTTTTTTCAGTATCTTAAAGTGAGAATTTCTTGGTTTTTTTTTTAATCCTCATCCTAAGATATTTTTTCCATTTATTAGAGAGAGTAAAAGGAGTGAGGTAGGGGAGGAGGTGGGGGGGAGAGGGAGAGAGAGAGAAACATCATGTGAGGGAGACAGATTCATTGGTTGCCTCGGGCACGCACCTCAAAGGAGGCCAGGGATCAAACCTGCAACACAGGTACATGCCCTTCACCAGAAATTGAACGTGGGAGTGTTTTATCCTGGAGCCAACACTCTCACTACTGAGCTACACCAGCCAAGGCTTAAAGTAGGAATTTTGACCACTGATTGACAGTCTTTTCTCTTATAGTTTTTAATGTTATAAATGCATTGTTTTAGCTGTATTCCATACATTTTTAGTGAGAGAGGTAGAAACATCAATGATGAGAGGCAATCATTGATTGGCTGTCTCTAGCACGCCCCCTAATGGAGATGGAGTCTGCAACCATGGTGTGTGCTTGACTGGGAACTGAACCTCAACCTCCTGGTTCATAGGTCAGCCCTCAAGCACTGAGCCCCACATGCTGGGCCTTTTATTATGAATCAATTTAACTTTTTTCAGATTTTCTTTGTTATTTTTATCTTAACCCTTGAAATATTTGAAATGGTGCTGTTTAATGTATAAACACTTGGTGATTGTTTCACTTTTCCTTCTGTTGTGTATCTTAAATTTAATTCATCTTTAATCAGAAAGCATATATTTCATTATTTCAATCTTTTAGATGTATTGACATTTGCTTTATTGACTAAAATATTATTTCAGAATGTGAAGTGTATATTGATTGGATGAAAGGGTGTTTAGTTGTCAGGTGGAGCTGGTTGACAATGTTGGTCATGTCTTCTACATCATGATGATTTTCTAATTTACATTTTTGCTTTTTATTTTCTCCTTTTCTTAAGTCTCTTTAACCTTCCTTATAATACTGATTTGGTGGTGATTATCTCCTTGAGCTTTTTCTTATCTAGGAAGCTCTTTATTTCACCTTCAATCTACATTAATAAAAGAAAAACATGGTAATTGACGTACGACCGCTACCCTTTTCATTGGCTAATCAGCGAGATATGCAAATTAACTGTCAGCCAAGATGGCGGCCAGCAGCCAGGCAGCTTGAAACTAACATGAGGCTTGCTTGCCTCAGTGACGGAGGAAACCAGCGTTCAGCGCCTGCGGCTGCAGGCCTCTAAGCCTGCAGTTTCAAACATTGTAACAAATACCACCGGACTTCAGCCAGCAGGATTGAAACATTGTATGCAAAGGCCAGAAACCTACTTTCAGCAGCAGAGGCCTAAGAGCTGGAGCCAAGCCTCAAGCTAAAGCTGCCCCAGAATAAAAAAAAAAAAAAAAAAAGGAAAAAGGGAGCGGTTGGGAGCTTCAGTCACCCCCAGCCTGAAAACAGCCCTCAGCCCCTCACCCAGACTGGCCAGGCACCCCAGTGGGGACCCCCACCCTGAAGGGTGTGTGACCAGCTGCAAACAGCCATCATTCCCTCACCCAGGCTGGCCAGGCACCCCAGTGGGGACCCCCACCCTGATCCAGGACACCCTTCAGGGCAAACCAGCCAGCCCCCACCTGTGCACCAGGCCTCTATTCTATATAGTAAAAGGGTAATATGCCTCCCAGCACCGGGATCAGCGGAGCCGTGAGGCCTCCCGGCACCGGGATCAGCATGACAGGGGGCAGCGCCCAAACTCCCTGATCGCCCTACAGCTCTGTGTGTGACAGTGTGCGGCGCCCCAACCCTTCCCCCCCCCCCCAACGGGCCCTCCTCTGTGTGTGACGGGGTAGAGCCATAGCCTCCCCATTGGCCCTGCCCTGAGTGTGAGAGTGGCGGCGCCCCAAGCTTCTGATCGGCCCTGCTCTGTGGGTGATAGAGGGTGGTGCCCCAACGCCACCCCCCGCCGCCCCCCCCACGGGCCCTGCTCTGTGTGTGACGGGGTAGAGCCATAACCTCCCCATCAGCCCTGCCCTGAGTGTGACAGTGGTGGCGCCCCAACCCCCTGATTAGCTCTGCTCTGTGGGTGATAGAGGGCAGCGCCCCAACCCGCTGATCTGCCATGCTCTGTGTGTGACAGGGCGTGGCGCCGCAACCTCCCCATTGACCCTGCCTTGAGTGTGACAGGGGGCGGTGCCCCAACTCCCCTATCGGCTCTACTCTCTGAGTGACAGGGGGGAGCTCCTCAACCCCCTGATCGGTCCTGCTCTGTGCATGATGGTACGGAGCCCCAACCCCCTGATGGGCCCTGCTGTGTGCGTGACAGGGGGCAGCGCCCCGAACCCCTGATTGGCCCTGCTCTGTGCATGACAGGGGGCAGTGCCCCAACCCCCCAATTGGCCCTACCCTGAGCGTGACTGAGGGTGGCATCGCAACCTCCCATTCCGCCCTGCTCTGTGCATGACAGGGGGCGGCACCCCAACTTCCCAATTGGCCCTGCTCTGAGCCCAACCAGGGGCTGCACCTAGGGATTGGGCCTGCCCTCTGCCACCCGGGAGCGGGCCTAAGCCAGCAGGTCGTTATCTCCTGAGGGGTCCCAGACTGCGAGAGGGCACAGGCCGGGCTGAGGGACACCCCCTCCTCTCCAAGTGCACAAATTTTTGTGCACCGGGCCTCTAGTTCTAAATAATAGCCTTGCTGGGTAGAATAATCTAGGTTGTAGGTCTTTGCTTTCCATCACTTTCAATATTTCATGCCACTCCCTTCTGGCCTACAAAGTTTGAGTTGAGGAATTAGTTAGGATTCTGAGGGATCCCCCTTATAGATAACTAACTGCTTTTCTCGTGCCACTTTTGAGATTCATTTTCTTGGTATTTTTCATTTCTCACGGTATTTTTTATGCTTTGTATCTCCTATGTATGTTTCTTCTGTCTTTGTTGAAGTTGTCAGGCAGGTAATCTATTCTTTCCCTAAGTTCATTGAGCATCCTTATAACCAGTGTTTAGAATTCTGCATTTGATAGATTGTTTGCCTCCATTATGTTTACTTATTTTTCTGAAATTTTGTCCTAATCTTTCATCTGGGACATGTTTTTTTGTCTCCTCATTCGGCTGCCTTCCTATGTTTATTTCTATGTGTTTGGTATATCTGCCACATCTCCCAGCCTTGGCAGAGTGTCCTTATGTAGCAGGCTTCCCTTGGGCCCCAGTGATGCAGTTTCTGTGTTCATCTGAACCAGGTTCTCTAGGGGTGTCTAATGTTTGGGTTGTGCGTGCTTTCTTGTTATAGTTGAGCCTTGATTGCCTTTGGCACATCAGTGTGTGGGACTGTCCCTCGGGCTGAGTTGGGGTCCCATTTCATAATCTACACCTGTGGGTGTGATGCCAGCCAGTTTCATTTTGCCCCTTCTACCAGCCTTGTGGTGATTTTAAAAATAAATATGTGTTGATTAATTTTAGAGAGAAAGAAAGGGAGAGAGAGAAACTTTGATGATAAATAAGATTAGATGACTGAAAATACTTAAGAATATGGAATGAGCTGTCTTGTTAGTGCCTGAAATGCAGTAAATATTATAGCTTTAGAATAGTGACCAAGTGGATATTGGTAACATGGACAAAGGTGTATAAAAGAGGATGAAATTTCTTTGTTGAAAAGTAAGTTACATAGCAAATATCCTAAGTTACTGGTTTCTGTGGCTTTTTTACTAAGCATTATAATAACCTGCATTTAAAAGACAAAACTGAGTAATATTAAAGACTTGGAAATAAATTATAAATATATATGTTTTGAATTTTAAGGTGTGAATAAGATCAATTATAGATAGTGGGTGAAAAAATAAGAGACATTTGAGAAATGCCTACATTAATACACTTGTTTGCTTGTACTTTCAGCAGAAGCCATGTGAATTTTTGAGGAAACTATAACTACTCATCTTTGTTTCTACAAATTATGGCAAAATGCCTGACAAGTAGTAGTACACCACTTTACATTTGTGTTGAATAAATGAACAAACCATGAAATATTCAGATCATCTCTTGAGGAGTCTTATGAACATGGGAATACATCAGGGGCCTCATATTTTTCTCATAAATATGTCTCATCTCCAGGTACTGAAAGCTCAAGCTGTGTTGGCACAATGGTCAAAGCTATTTCTATATTTTAGGGACACATACAACTATAGATGAATATTCCAAAATGATTGACCCGGGTCTTGTCTCTATTATTTTGCTCTCACATTAAGACCATCTCTATACCCATCAGATCAGGGGTGGTAGGGTTGGGGAGTGGGAAGATGTGTTGAAGCTTTGTTAGTGAAAAGAGCTTATTACTTCATGACTTATATTTTCTCTTTCCTCCCTAGGATGTGAAAGACACTATGGAAAGGTATGTGTAAAAGATCAGAGATGGTCTTTTTGTGCTGTAAAAAGTAGTTTAAAGCCATTAAAGTTAGAATAAAATATTGCTCAGGGCAGACAAATTTAGATGTAGTTTTATCTTAAATTTCTGTTCACACATGGTTTGTGTATTCCATATCTATTGAGGATGAACCAGCTTTTATTTAGGCAATTTACTTGGGAGGAGTTGCAGAGTATGGATCAGTAGCAATTAAACATCAGATGTTTCAGTATCAGACCCATCTGACTTCATAAATATTATGCACTCTTCATGCCTGTATCTAACTCAGATTTCCACATTTCATAGGTAATGTATTCACTGTGGGAATGTCATGTCTTCTTTACCTCAGAGGCACCCAGAATTTGAGACAACTCCTTTATATTTAAATGTCTTCTCTGGGAATAGAAGATATGGTTCCTTTTATTTTCTAAAAGCCAACTTGAATATCAAGGAATATTTTGACCTTGGGGAAAACCATTGCTCCATCTTGTACTATATTTTAAAGTTAGAATGGAAGAACATCATCTTTGTATCTAAATCTGAACACCTACTTGGCCGCACTAATCTCTTCCAAGTACATGAAATTCAGACCAATATTAGTATCATATTTACAATGTCTTCTTTTCCAAGGGTTACATTTTTTCCCAGAAGACTGAAATCGCAGATGTAGTTCTGGAGGCCACCCTACAGGGCAGTGGAACTTAAAGATGTTCAGCCTCCCCAGACAATATTCCCACACTTGACATATCTCAAACATAAGCAGCCATGTTCACTTTCTTTTCATATTGCTGGGAGACTACATCCATGTCATGACATTTCCTTATGCTAATTTATTTCACGGTACGAAATTTTGCATTTTAAAGAAATGCACTATGGCACATAATTTCATATGATTTTTAGGAGTTAGAAAGGGAGAGGATAGTTATCACTGTGAAAGGAATAAACTATTCTGAGAGGTCAGACCCTTTCCAAGGGCAGACAGCAGTCAACTGAGAAAGTGGATTGAGCACATTTCTTCTGGTGCCAAGGTCAGAAGTCTAGTCTGTCCTTTCTCAGGGGTCCAGGAATGGGGGCTCAAGTACTCCTTGGGGTGAGTAGATAAAAATCAATGGTTTTGAAGAGACAAAAATTCAGAGGTGTGTGGATCCATTTTGTCATCACTAGGAGTAAGACCTTCACTGTGAAGAAGCCAAGAACTCTCCCCACGAAGCAAAGGACAGTGTTTCAAGCTCCTGACCTGAGAGGGGTGCTGGAAGCCTTTACTGGTGAGGAATGCTAGAGCAATGGATGGCTGTGAGATTTTTGTTATGGGTTGAAGGTCAGGTTTTAAGTGTAGATAGAGGAGACAAAGGAAGACAGATATTATATGCTGTTGACTTATGCAATGGGGAGTGGTCAGCTGTCTTGTTCACCTCTCATTCTTCCATGTACTACTATACATAGACCCCAGTCTTTTTCTGATTTGGAGAGAAATCAGATGTTAATGTAGAATCTTTTGCCTATACTTAATGTTATGGATTTTTTCTAATTTCAGAACTGACAGATGTGCGACGCTCCTGGGGTAAGGAGAAATCACAATATCATGAAGCCACCTTGTCCTTGTCTTTTAGTATTTGTCATTTCCTACTAGGTCTCATGTATAAATCCATATTTTCCCTCCCACCACACACATACATATTATATTTCTGCAGTGTGTACTGCTCTTGAAGAACCAAATCAAATTCTTCCCATTTCCCACTCATTTTATTCTCAACACCTCTCTGACAATGTCAAAAATAAAGGTACATCATATTCCTGACCAACCCTACAATTTTTCTACAGTACACGTGACCCTGGATCCTCCCACGGATAAATCAGATATTGTCATTTCTGCAGATAGGAGACAAGTGAAACCTGCCTTTTATTTGAGAACACATTATTTGTATCAGAAAGGTTATTATGAGGATTATGGTGTCCTGGGGTCACCTCCTATCACATCAGGAAAACATTACTGGGAGGCAGATGTGTCAGATAAATATGCCTGGGTTTTGGGGATGTATTGTGAAAAATGTCCTGACTCCAATATGATGGATTTTGTAAAACAAGACAAAAAACATATTATCGTAAAACACGGTAAAAAACATCTGCATGTTTGCTCTAAATATCAACCTAAATATGGCTACTGGGTTATAGGGCTACAGAACCACTCTGAATATAAGGCTTTTGTGGATTCTGCCTCCTGTGACTCCACGACCTTAACCCTGTACCTGGGTGTTCCTCCCCGTCGTGTTGGGGTTTTCCTAGACTATGATGCTGGCACTGTCTCATTTTTTAATGTCACTAACCATGGGCTTCTCATATATAAATTCACTTCATGTTCCTTTTCTCAGAAAATGTTTCCGTATTTCAATCCTATGAAATGCACTGCCCCCATGACACTGTGTTCTCCAGGCTCTTAAACCTCTTACACCCTCACCCACTTCTCTGGAGTGTCTCTTGCCTTGGGTGCATCTAATGAGTTGAGCTTAACATTCTCACCATCTTTTCCATTCTCTCTCTTTTTTTTTTCAATTTGAACACCCTTCATTCATCAATCAGAGATCCTGGGGGGGATGTCTGTCTGCTGGCTAAGCTGGCAGTCAAACATCCTGCTTGCAGTCCGGGGCTCTCTCAGTCCAGGACCCCTCACTCCTTCCTGCCCTCCTGTAGCGGAGGCAGGAGAGATTCCCACTGACGCTGCGCTCACCAGCTCCGAGCCCAGCTTCTGGCTGAGCAGAACTCCCCCTGTGGGAGTGCACTGACCACCAGGGGGCAGCTCCTACTTTGAGCTTCTGCCCCTTGGTGGTCAGTGTGCATCATAGTGACTGGGTGTTCTGCCACTCAGTCGATTTGCATATTATGCTTTTATTATATAGGACTAGAGGCCCACTGCAGGAAGATTCCTGCAAGAAGAGGGCTTTGCTCCCACCTCTGCCACCTTGGCTCCCTCCTGCCTCCTGCTGCCTCCCACCACTGCCTCCTGTGGCCTCCCGCCGCCTCCTGCCGTTTCCTGCCACCGCCTGCAGCCCACTGCCCACCACCGCCTGCAGCCGCCGCCTCCCACTACCTTCCACATCCTCCCTCTGCCATCACTGCCTCCTGCAGCCTCCTGCCGCCTCCCACCGTTTCCCTGCTGCAGCAGCAGCCTGCTGCCCACTGCCCAATGCCACCCACCACCACCGCTTCCAAAGTCTCATGTTTCAGATCCCAGATATCTCTGTGCTGCTGTCTAGAGTCCTCCAGCTCTGCCAGTGATAAACAAGACTGTGTATGAATGTGTGTGTATGACTGAAAATTTTATTATAAGTCTGGTGTTACTGCATATTAGCCTTGATCAAGTAATCTGGATTATACATACTTAGTTTCACATTTGTGAAATTATATGAAATTTACCTGATGTATTATTGTGAAAATTAAACCAAGGAATATTTTCAATAATTTATTTCATGGTTAGCACATAATTAGTCATCATGTCTGGTGTTGATTCATTTTTATTTGCCTCACTGTGACTGAAATAAATGATTTTAAGAATATATATTAGTTTTCTTTCAACTTTATTATTCTTGCTTTGATTTAAGAAATAAAAACAACTTGATGAAAGAATTGTGAAATCTCATGAACAAAATAATCTGATGAACAAAATGGAACCAGAAACAAGTAACAGACTGGCTGGTACCTGAGGAGAGGTGGGTGAGGGGTGACTGGATAAAGAAGGTAAGGGTGTTAGCTAAAGAACAGATATGTATACCCCATGGGCATGGACAATAGGCTTGTGAAGGCCAAGGGACAAAGTCAACATTAAAAATTTTTAATGAAAAAATGTTATTATTCACAAAAATGATGTAAGTGTAAAAAGAACAATTGTGGGATTTCTTAACAGTGTTTTGTTACCTATTTCAGCCTGACTTTTTCAGTGAGGTGCAAGTTTGCAGGAACAAGAGAAAAGCCAGTTCTCCTCCAAAGAGATAGCAGGGGCAAGATTTCTACAATGGATATTCCCACCATCCCCTTGTCTTTTGGAATTTTTATTCCCAAATCTGTCCCCAAAGAAGTAAAAGTTAAAATTAATTAATTAATTAACTGAATGGGCTCTCTTGTCAATTATTATCTGTTCTCATCTCTGCATGGCCACGGGGATGTCTAAATTCCTCACTTTGGATTATCTTTGATGTAACAAGGGATTGCAAGGTGGATATTATAGTGTGTGTGTGTGTGTGTGTGTGTGTGTGTGTGACCTCTGCCTTCCTTTTGTTCCATTGCTATGATGCCTGGGGCTATTACTTACTTGCAATACTCTTCAATTATTGACAAATCAACTCCAGGACTTTCCAGTTACTGGAATCCCAGTCCTCCAATTCAGGATGAAGTCTCTAGTTACAAGGAAGACAAGACCTGAATGTTCAGATACAACATTGTTGAGGCCCTTATCATCACTGTCAAGACTGCTCAAACACACACACACAAACACACACACACACACACACACACACACACACACACACACACACACTCGGGAGGAATACTTTTGTTTTCAATTGTTTTCTCCCTTTTGGCCTCACTCTTTCCAGTGGGCTGACAGACTAGGGCAGTCCCCAGGACAGAAGACAAGTCTGTTCTTCTTCCCCTTTCCGAGTGAAAGGGCGGGGAGTTGAATCTGCGTGAATGTTCATGCAGGCCTTGGTGGGATCCCAATCCAGTCTTCTGAAACAGAAAATTTCTTGCTCTTGAGGAAGTAGTATACGCAGATTTACTGGTCTTTAGGTTCAATGTATATTTTGCCATAATAAACAGCCAGGTTTTTTTTTTTTTTCCAAGTATTTGTCCCACTTTCCATTCTCAGTGGATAAAAGAGAACAGGATGATTTGGGGTCTGGTGGTAAATGCGGAGATATACAGCAGAGTTATTTTTGGTATATTTGATCTACAAATTTTCTGACAATTGAAGGGGAGGGGAGGGCTCCACACTTGCAGTGTGTTTATGTGGCGTGCCCATGGATAGCTTAGGACAGTGGTCGGCAAACTCATTAATGTCAACAGAGCCAAATATCAACAGTACAGTGATTGAAATTTGAGAGCCAAATTTTTTAAACTTAAACTATATAGGTAGGTACATTGTTATTAACTTAGTTGGGCTACTCCTAAGCTGGCCTTTGCTAAAAACGTCCTCAATCTGATTGAGGTACGTTCACTGAGGTCGACCCCTTCCAACTCTCCCATCCACACTGGTCTTGTATACTTGTTTCGTCTATCTCCTTTCGTTCATCTTCTCTATATGTCCAAACCATCTTAACATAGCCTTCTCAATCCTCGACACTACATCTTCTTTCACTCCACAACGTTCCCTAAAATTAACTTAATAAACTTTACTTAAAGTTTTAAGTCTTAGTTAAACTATAGGTACTTTGAATTAATCTTGATATCATACTTAATGACCTTATTATTTATTGATAAATTTAACTTCCTTACAATTTACCTTACAATATCCATAAAATTAAATCATGACAATGACTGACAAACACTAATGTGAACAATGGCCTTGCATCTCCTTGGAAAGTTTGGGTAAGTCAGGTTTCTATGTTGTTTTTATTTTAGGCGCGATTCCAGGTTCTCATCAATAAGACGACTTCTCAATTTATTCTTGATAAGGTTCATGCTTGAAAATGATTGTTCATATAAATATGTAGACCCGAATATGGAAAGAACAGCAAACGCTAGTTTTTTCAGTTGATTATATGACTCAGGAATACTATTCCAGGAGTTAAAAATCAACATATCTACCTTCTCCAGGTTTTTCAAAGCAGACCACTTGTGCTGTGAACTAAGTTCACATCTGTTTTCCTCCAACATTTCTATATCAGCGCAAAGACGTTTAAATTTCGAGCTCCACAGTTCTTTGTTTTTTAAATCCAGCAATTGCATTTCAAAGTTGCCAATGTCAATATTAAAGGGAGAAAAATTTAATTCTGTTACAGTAGCATTGAGAGGTTTTTTTAACAAAGGCCAACGTCGCTTTGCTGTTTCTGAATTCCTGAAACCTGTTGAGAAAAGCTTCCCTCATATTTAAAAGTGTTGTTTTGAAATAACAAATGTCAATATCAGAATTATTTTTTTGGCGATGTTTCAACAGGCTTGGAAAGTGAATCAAAGTTTCTCTTTCAAAATCTTGAGCAAAAAGAGATAATTTGTTTTCGAATGAAATAACTTCTTCTAACATCAAAAAAACAAACTGAGTTTTCTTTCCCCTGTAGCTTAAGATTAAGCTGATTTAGATGAGACATAACATCCATCATGAAATAAAATTTTTGGATCCACTGATCGTTCGTTAGTTCTGGATAGTGAACACCCTTCTCAAGGAGAAATGCTTTAATTTCTGTTAATAAGGAAGCGAAACGTTTCGAAACGTTTCCTCTTGATAACCAACGTACCTTGTTATGCAGCAGAAGATGTGCGTACTCACTCTCCATTTCAACTAAAAATTCTTTAGCCCTAACCGGTTTGGCTCAGTGGATAGAGCATTGACTTGCGGACTCAAGGGTCCCAAGTTTGATTCCAGTCAAGGGCATGCACCTTGGTTTCGGGCACATCCCCAGTGGGGAGTGTGCAGGAGACACCTGATCAATGTTTCTCTCTCATCAATGTTTTTAACTCTCTATCTCTCTCCCTTCCTTTCTGTAAAAAAATCAATAAAATATATTTAAAAAAATTAAAATAATAATAATTCTTTAAATTGGCGATGATTAAGAGCTTTAACTCTAATGGAGTTGATAATCTTAATCACCAATTCCATAACTTTGCAAATTTCTTCTGGAAATGTCTGCGCACAAAGCGCTTCTTGATGAATGATGCAATGGTAAGTAAATATGTTGTGATTAATTTTTTCTTTCAAAATAGCAACAAACCCGTTTCTTACGCTAATCATATTTTTCGACCCATCTGTTGAAACTGAGACAATTTTATCGAGTGGAATATGATGCTTTTCAATGCACTCAATTACAGCATTTGTTATATCCTCTCCACGTGTTTGACCTTTGAGTGGCAATAATCCTAAAAGTTCTTCTTTAGGACCTATAGATGAAATAAATCGTACAAAAAGTGAAATTTGCACTGTATCATTTATGTCACAAGACTTGTCAACTGCTATTGATAACGCTGAAACCAATTTAAGATCTTCGACTTGCTGGTTGGGTATATTTGAAGACATTTTGACTGTTCTATCTTTCACTGTTTTAGCAGGCAATGGTAACTCTTTAATTTTTTTTAGAATATCTGCTTTGTTCTTAAAATCCCGAAATAGCTCTTCATATGCATTTATAAAACAACTTTTTATGTATTCGCTATCTGTATATGGTTTTCCTCTCTTAGCAATCGCTTGACTAACCACAAAACTTGCAATATTAACATTGTTGGAAGATTGCATCCAGTAATTAAATACAGAACTTGATTTTTCTTGACTCTTCTGAAGTTCCTCAACGGCTTTCTTCCTTACATCATCGACAGTATATTTAGTACTAAATGGCACGTCTTTATTTGTAAAGTGTCTCTCCAA